GTGTTTGGATAGCCTGCTGCGGGAGCTGTTCAGTTCGCAGACGACGACCAAGTGGACCGAGGAGGACTGCGAGAAGGAGCTCACGGAACTGCGCGAGGAATTTCTGGCACGCATCCTCAAGCGGGCCAACCTGAGCCACGGCATCGGGCTTCTGTCGATCATACTCTTCAAGAGCCGCTACCGCGTCGAAGAGTGCAAGGGGTAAATAGCTCTTCCAGTCCCGCACTCGAGCGTGTGTGTGCCGTGTGTGTGCCGTGTGTGTGCCGTGTGTGTGCCGTGTGTGCCGTGTGTGTGCCGTGTGTGCTGAGCAAGTGCGTCTAGGTATGCGCTCAAGATCGGACAGACCCTCTTCCCTCTGCTGGCCTCGGCGTCGCTCGCGGCCAACATTGCCACCAACGACTATGTACACCACTGACCTCCCCTCCCCTCAGTGACAACCACAACTACACGAACTCACTGACAAATCGTGACCACGAACACGAACACAGGAATTGCTGGAGCTCTACGCCCTGTTCGACAAGGTCGTGGAGAAGCACAGCGAATCGGAGAAGACGAAGAAAGAAACCACCGACTCGCTTTGCGAAGGCTTCGTGCAATTGGTACGCACGCACACGCCACACGCCACACGCCACACGAACACGAACACGACTGAACGCGTGCCTTTCTGCAGCTGAAGGAGGTCGAATCGCGGCCGGAGGAGACGCCCCAGTTCGGCGAAGGCAAGCTCCTATCGGCACGCGACCTCGAGCAGTCCATCAAATCCGTGACCGGCCCCTATTGGCTGCCGCCGGCCCTTGTGGTATGCGTCCGCCGCGCGTCGTGTGTCGCGTGTCGCGTGTCGCGTGTCGCGTGTCGCGTGTCGCGTGTCGCGTGTCGCGTTCTCACAGTATGACTGCTACGTGCGTGTGTGCCTGCGGAAGTATTTGCGCTTCCTGGGCATGCGGAGCGAAGAGGAAATCCTGCCGGCCCTGGCCAAGCTCGACGACGACCCAGCGAGCTCACGCCCCGTCGAGGATGTCTTCGTCCGTCGCATGATGGAGCTCGTCCTCATCGCCCTCCGTACGTCCACCGCACGACACGACACGACACGACACGCACGACACGACACGCACGACACGACACTGATTGTGAGGACTGTAGAGGACACGATGAAGCGAGAGCATGCGTCGGCGTTCAGTGTCGAGCTCTACGCGCATCTGGTGACCCACCTGATCGCCCTCGCCTCGCCCGCGCGCTTTCCGCGCATACACGCGGCCATGCGCGGGCTGTGGACGGACGCCGCCACCGACTTTGCCCACGCGAGGCTCTTCCCGCTCCTCTTCAGCGGACCCCTCGCCTACGGCCGCGAAGTGGCCTGCGTGTGCCTCTCGCGGTACCGCACACCACTCCACCGTCACTCCACCCCCAGTTACTCCTCACCTAAACCGCACACACGGCACGACACGACACGCACAGACTTTTCCATTGTTTGGATCTGCCGGAGTTGTCGCTGGCGATGCTCAAGTTCGCGCGCTCGTCGCGCACGGCCGCTGGTCATGGCAAGCTGGGCTGGCGGGCGCGCGTGGTGGAGCTCACGGCGCTCGTGGGCTACCTTGCCACATTCTTGGACGCGAGCGCCAGCCACGCCTGGTCGGGACTCACCTGGAGCGAAGACCTCGGCCAGTTGCTCATGTACACACACACACACGCACGCACGACACGACACGACACACGCACACGTGCTCACGCGTGTGTCGCGATTGCAGAGAGCACACGAACGAGCCGACGGTGAAGAAGTTCGTGGCGTTGGTGGGCAGCGCCCTGTCGTCGCCGTCCATGTACGCCACGGCCTCGGGCCGATTCGCCTTCCAGCTGCTCGGCAGCCTGCGCAGCCGACTGCTCGGGAGCGGCAGCGCAGCCGGTCGCCAGGAGCAGGACTTCAAGAACCTCCTCGCCGCTCTCGGCAGCTTGCCGCCGTCCATGGCCACTGTCGGGGTACTCGCGCTCGCCCGTGTCGTGCGTGCGTGTGCGGTGGTGTGTCGTGTGACGTACAAAAACAGTTGAGTTTGGCTGACACGTTGGCGGCGGGCTGTGGACCACAGGTCCTGTTGCGCGTGCTGAAGCG